CAAATGTCTTCTCACATATTTAAATACAAAGAAAACATGTCTATGTCAACTTTATTCCCAACCTGTTTCACTGATTTCTATTCCCTGACTTGTCCGGGAAGCAGAGTTCGTAACCCCCATCTTAAACACTACCCTTTATCTACCTCTGTCTGTTTGGTCCACAGTTGTATCCCCAGCACCTGACACTGCTTAGCCAAGAAAAGGTGCCTAATTAAGAATGAATGAAAGGGTGCATAAGTGGCTTTTATACAAAAGCTTCTCCAATATTAACAAATATACAGGGACTTCCCTGGCAACCCAGTGATTATGACTCCACACTTCCACGGCAGGGGGCCCAGGTTCGATCCCTGGTCAGGGAACCAAGATTCCTGCATGCTGTACTGCACAGCCAAAAGAACCAAATATACGGTGATGGTTAGGAGCAGGCATTTTTTGGTCATCAGACAGCTCAAGTCCCACTGCTGCCACTAACTAGCTGTGTGACCTCAGGCAGCTTCCTCGGTCTCTCTGGGCCTGATATGCTCAGCTGCAAAATGCAGGTTATTAGGGTGCCATGTACATAAATGAACAGGAATGTGAAAGATGCTGAATAAATGAAGTTCCCTTCTCCTCTTTCAGTTCATCAAGGTGAACCGAGGTCAGTACTTGATTGTGTTGACAAGTCGCCTGGTACCCAAGTGACCTGGCCTTGGATTATCTGCTGGGCCAGGGAGGCAACGGTTTCCCATTAACATCACGCCCTGAAAAGAGAGCCCTGGGTAGGGAAAGCCCTGGGCCAGATGGCAAAGCCAAGGGTTTGATCCCCAGGCACATCTCTGGGTGAAAACTGGCGTTTTCAACATCCAACCATTCCTCCCGCTGCTTACCTTCCTGAACTGAAGAGGCTGGAAAGCTGAAAATTCAATTTCCCAGACTCCCTTGCAGCCAGGGGTCTGCGGCGTTTAAGGGCCTCCCAATCAGCTGTGTCCACAATACACCTGGACTTGTGCTGAGTTAAGAGAGTTGAAAGGACTGGGCATGGGGCACCGGGCTGCAGGTTTAGACCAAGGCAAAGCGGCCGTGGGTCTGGCCCCAGAAGCTGGCTCAGCAGTGATGCCTCCTGTTCCTGGGGGCAGCAGTGGCTCCCCTGGAGCCCAGTCCTGCAGTGTGGCTTCCTCAGCCCTCCCTGTGATTCTGTAAATACTCATAATGTGTCAGCCACACGCCATCAGGGAAGCAGCTAGATCTGACCCACGTCCTTGGGGTAGTTTATTCTGAGAGTAAGACCTTACACGTTATCTGTGGGAGGAGGTACAGAAGTGAGGTCTGAAAAGGGACTTCTGGAGCCACGAACTGGGCCATCTGAGAGGCCACGGGGTCTGTCTAGCCGCCAAAGTGAGGCTGCAGAGGGGTACTAGTAGAGAAATTGATGGGGAACCATTACCTCTGCAGCCAAATGTCCAGTGACAGGCGAGGTGCTGATGCCCAGGAGTCAGGAGGAAGACCTGGACGCAGCCGAAGGACACGCCGAAGCCTGCTGGCACACCTGCAGCTATCTGTCACCACATCAAACCGCAGCGACCTTGCAAGAGTAGAAGCTGTTGCTTCCTTTCCGCCTTCAAACTCTCACCCGAGTTGCTCTTTCGGTCAATTCCAACTTGGAACCCTTCAAAGATAGGGATTCTGGGAAACGTAGTCCCAGCCTAGCCAAGTTGACACAGCTGAGTACGGACCAGTTGGCTTACTAAACCCTTCTGCTTTAACTAGCTGGTTGAATTCTGCTCTCGAACACTGACCTGATAAGAGACTTCAGACAGTTCCTCAGTGGGTGCTCGTCAACACTTTTGTCAACTCAAGGCCTTTTGTTTGGACAATTTCCCACCTTAAGAGTCTGGACCAGAAGCAGCCTGAAACTCACTTTCCCAGCTTCCCTTGCAGTTAGACTGTAAGCATGTGACCTAGGCTCAACCAATCAGATACACCCAAATTGTACCCAAGCTCAACCAATCTAATACATCCAGATGGTACTTAGACTCAATCAGATACACCCACGTGAAACCTAAGCTTAGCCAATTCAGATACACCTACAGGTGAAAGCAATGAAAGTGGATTCTGATGCATGGAATTCAATCTAGCAGGAGGCGGAAGGAACATAACCAGTGTCACTAGTGAGAGTTTGTGTCTGGGCCCAGTGACAGTGACATGAAGGTCCTGCAATGTAATTTATATATTGTTCATGGCTGTCTCTCCAGGCCTCCCTTCCAAAGATGTGCAAGTCACTTAACATCCTTTAATAAATTCCTTTCCTGCTCAAACTACCTAGAGTGCACTCTGTTGTTTGCAACCAAAAACCTGACTCACCTCTAAATTCACTTAACCATCAAGTCTCAGTTTCCCAACCTAGACAAAGAGCGAAACAATACCCACCCCATGGGCAGTGGAGTCAGGGAGAGGCGTTTTGTAAACTTACCACAGTGCCAGACACTGGGGCAGCGTCTTCCGAGGGACCACTGCACTGAGTTGTAAGTCAGGCAGACTGATTTGAATCCTGGCTCTGGCACTGACTGACCTGTTGTGTGACCTTGGGCAGGTCAATTTCCTCATCTGGAAAATGGGACTATGATTAGTGCCTGCCTCGTGGAGTTATCATGAAGACAAAAAGATTCCGGCACAGAGCAATCCCCCAGCACACAGCTCAGCATGTGGGACATACCCACACCGGTGATGCTGGAAGGAATATGAGTGACCTTTGTCTTGCTGGATTAAAGAAAATGAGCAATAATAGAGGTGGTGTTCCTGATGTACCCTGATGTGAAGGGGGCCTGTGAATGCTGAAGTTTAGAAAACATTTATATGTTCGAAACACAACCCTGACTACACTTAAATCGTACACTTAAAAATGGTTAAAAGGGCAAATTTTGTTACATATATTTTGCCACAATTTTTAATAAAAATTAATAATGTAATATACCAAAAATCATTGAATTATATACTTTAAATAGACAGATTTATGGTATATGAATTCTCTCTCTAAAGCTGTTAAAAAAAAAAAACACACCCTGGCTTCCCATCTCCTTCGGATCATAATTCAAGCCCCGACTTCTCTTCCCTCTCTGATCTCATCAGCCCCACCTCCACGCTGAATCCCTCATTCTGGCCTCACTCGCTTTCCTCCTCTTCCTGGAAGATGCCAGCCCCACCTCAAGCCTTTTATATTTGCTTTTCCTTCTACCTGGAATGTTCTTCCAACCAGGTTAGAGGCTCTGGGCTCTGGCTGCCCATAGGAATCACCTGAGGAGCTTTACGAAGCCCCACCTCAGAGAGTCAGATGTCATTACTTGGGGAAGGAGGGTGGCGTCTGCTTTGCTGTTTTAAATCCGCCCAGGTGGGGACTTCCCTGGTGGTCCAGCGGTTAAGAATCCACCTCCCCATGCAGGGGATGTGAGTTCATATCCCTGGTCAAGGAACTAAGATCCCACATGCTGCGGGGCAACTAAGCCCGCACACCACAACTACTGAGCCCGCAAGCTCTGAAGCCCGTGCGCTACAACTAGAGAGAAGCCCGCACACCACAAAGAGGAGCCCGCCTGCCGCAACTAAGACCCGACGCGGCCAAATAAATAAATATTTAAAAAATAAATAAATCAATCTTCCCAGGCACTGCTAACATTCAGCCAGTGTTACTAAAGCGCTGCCCTAGACATCATGCTCAGTCCCCACCACGTTTACATTTCAGCTCAAAGGGCAGCTCCTTCGAGAAGCCATCCTCAATCAATACCATCTACCTCCCCTCCGTACCCTGCCTATTTATCTTCAGTGAGTCTATTCTACCTAGGATTCCATCATATGCATATCTGACTGCTTCCCAGTGAGAATGTCGGATGGATGAGGCCAGAGGCTGTGTCCCCAGTGCTTGGCTCACACAGATGCTCAGGACAGAGCTGTTGCCGCAATGAACCTCCACCAGTCCGACTTGGTCCGACTCTGGCTCTGGGGACTGCAGTTCTGCAAGGAGGCCACCAGGCGGCGATAGTGCCCAACTGCGTTAAAAGTAGCCCCTAGACCCACCAGGCTGGCTGTGCCAGCCCCAGCCTGCCCTGTGCCTGGCCATCGCTGAGAGGAAGCAGCAAGAACCACGGCAGAGAGCATGGTGTCCTCCTTCTCCTCATTCCTAGACTCAGAGCCACAGGGCCCTGAAAACACTCCACCCAGACTAAAGTCAGAGGGAGAAGGCCCCGCTGCCCTGTCTGGAGCCTCCAAGCCCTTCCCTCTTACCTGGCCACGCACCAGAGCCCTGGATGTAGCTGCTTGGGTATGACTCCCACGGGTCCCCCCACACAGCTCGTGACTCACACCCGAGGGACCTGCAGGTCTGTTTGCCATGGCCAGTGTCTGCAGACACGCTGAATATCCATTGACGGGGGGCTGTGACACATGCTGTCTCCTTCCACACAACAGGTTCCCACACCCACAAAGAGGAACAAAGAAGTTGTTGTAAGGTCCTCTCTAAACCAGTCCCACTTTGTTCCTTTCACAGCACCAGTCAGTGATGGCCTGCGGGCCAAATCCAGTCCCTGCCCTGCTTTTGTCCAGCCTTGAGGAGGGCTGAGAAGTGTTTACATGTTTAAATGGTTGGGAAAAAAAAACCTAATTTTGTGACACATGAAGATGAAATGACCAGGGTGTGCCTGGGCAGAGACAAGGCCCCACGCTGCCCACGGAACTCCTAGGAGCTCAGGCCCCCATCCTGGCCATGGAAAGGCAATCACTCCCCTGCCACTGTTTTTCCAAGACTGACCCAGGATTTCCCTTCTGTTCTACATCTCTGTCAGTAAATTCCCAGGAACTGGACTTCCCAGGAAAGCACCACTAGGGGCCCTTATTTATAATGTGCCCGCCACCCATGGAGCTGTTGTTCCTAACCTCTCATGGCCCCGTCCCCTGTGTTTGATCGGGCAAACGTGACACGGCCATCCTGACCAAATGGAAAACTGCATCGAGGACGACCAAGCCATTTTTCCAAAACAGTTTAATTAAAAAAAGGTGAAGAATCTGAAAAAATTGGGGGGTGGGGGAACCCAAAAGAGCATACCGTGTGAGTCCACTGGCTCAGTCACAAAGAAACACCATCATCAAAAAAGATATTTAAGTTTAATACAAATTTTATACAAAGAAAATGTGAAAAAATACTTCCATATGCTAAAAGCAATTATGCTTCACAAATAAGGCCAGCTAGGCTATTTTTTTTTTTTGACAACTGCAATTCACAAATGTTCTTTCTCTCCTGTTTTCTTCTAATACTCTCTTTTTATTTCTTCTCTAATATGGGTAACTAGCTGGAAACTGTACAGTTTGCATCCTCTTATCAACAATGAAGAGAAAGGAAACGAGACTAAAATGTACAACAGAAGGTACTGGAATGATATCGTACAATTAATTTTTCTCATATACATACATCACCTTTTTGCTTTGTTCAATGCTTCTTGTTTTACACAACATACAAAACGGTACTACAGCATACGTAGTGTAACAGACAGCGCAGCGGTGTCCTGTGTCTTCCCACACTGCCTTTGTTTCATGCTGACATAAAAACATAAATCATACATACATGCTTCATCCCAGACTGAAATGTCCTCCGCGTGCGTCTTGCCTTTGACTTCTCACTTCCGCAAAGCACGGCCCGTCTCCTACCAAGTGGGTGTGAGTGTCTTTAAAGGAACCACAAAGCAAAGAAAAGATCTGTTTCAGAGCTTCTGACTTGAACCCTCTCTAAGTTCTTCCCTTCTGCAACTGAGCTGAGCAGGGCTTGTTTCTAGTTGATATTCTGTAAACAAGGACGTTGGTGTTTTTTTTTTTCCCTTTTATAGGAGTAGAGTCATCATGGAAATCACATAAAATAAACGAGCTCCTCCACATGTCCTTCTGGTCCAGAGAGCTTGTCTTTTAAAACATGATAACACAGCATTTGAAAAGGGCCAATGGTTGGATGTGACGTGCCCACGACAGCACCGAATATGTGTCGGAAACTCCTGATCCCAGTGTGCTGTGTACAGACATAAGAATGGAAACGGCCCACTTTCCCCTGGGCATCCCAGGATGAGGACCTGTGTGCCACGGTGATCCCCACGCCCTCTCCATACCACTGTGACAGGTGGGCTGGCTGACCATCCCTTCTCCAACATTCAAACATTCTTTTTGTTGTTGGGTGTGTTTCTTTTTTTTTAATTGTTTTTCTCTCTCTCTCTTTTTTTTTTATAAGTTAAAGTCAATACAAATATAAAAAGGGGAAGGTACTCTAGGTTCAATGACATCCACAAATTGTACATTATTTACATCTAAAGCATAGGTTTCATGTGGGTGGAACGCTCCTCTGTCAAGGCTAATGCTGGGCGTGACGTAGTGCGGGCTGCCCTCCGTGCCAGGTGCAAAGGCCAAGTCTGAATGGTTGGAATCCTCCAGTCTGAGGGTGGCGATTCTCCTGTCTCACATTTCTTTGCTGTTTCCGGTTTTCCCGGTGTCTGGTTTTTTTTTCCTCCATGGGATGGGTGACTTGTGCCCCAACGTGTCCCTAGTCCCAGAAGGTGTCCAGCCGAGACTCTTTCGGGATGAGGCTCTTCGAACTGGTGCTGGCGTTGTGCTCAGAGCGTGCCGATCCCCGTTTCTCATCGCTGCCGCTCCAGCAACTGGATTTACTGCTCCGGGAATGGTCTGGGTTGGGGGGAAGTCAACCGGAAGGCAGGTTTTTAGCATTCCTGCCCACTTCCAGTGAATCAGAACCATCCCTGTGTGTGATCTGCACCTGCTTCCTGGTACCACCTTCCCCGCCCGACTCCACACAACACACATGGTCAAAATCCTGCCACCACTTACCACCCTGAATTTGCGTGTCTGTGGCGTACATGGGCAGAACTTATTTTTTTTAGGATTTAACAAGAGCTGATTGGAAAAACAGGAGGGAATCGTGCTCAGAGAGAATAAAGGTGAGTGGGGACAGGTACTAAGTTATCGAGGAAGGCACTTCTTGTGTGGTACCTGGGACCAGGCACCCCTCCTACATGACCAGACACCAAGCACCCCATGCCCTTGTGTCCTACCTTGGCCACTAAAAAAGGCACTGAAATTTGGCATTCGATCTACTTACTTCTGTTAATAGAGTTTCTTTAATCAGTTTATAGGCAACTTGAAAAACAGACTTAGAGCCAAACCACCCGAAGCAGAGGAGTGAGGACCAGCATGGTTAAGCCCAGCTGGGCTTAATGGTGAAGACCCACTGGCTCCCAGTAAGGACAAGCTTAAGGGTCACTGAAGGATGCAAGAACCAGAGTAAGACCTACGGGAGCTTCAAGGACACGTGCGCCACAAGGAGCTACATCCTGGCTGAGTAAGATACGAGGACACTGAAGGAAGAGCCAAGTGAGGTGTCTGTCCCACTGTGAGACGGCCCCAGCCTGCAGGCTCAGCGGGATGGCTGACTCTAAGAGACCCACCAGCACATCACTAAGACCCCATCATATCTTAGATCGTTTACCCAGTTCAGACAGACTGGGACAAAACTTTCTTTTTTAACTTCTTGAGGTGGGGTGAGAATATGTGATTGAGAGAAGTCGGCTGTCAAGCTCAGAGACAGAATTGGAGTGAGGGAACAAGGGACCGTATCATCGCCTAGGGGGTGACCTTTCTGGTGATACGGCAGGCATGTACGTGGTCCTGAGGTCTGTTTCTGCAAGATAAGTAGTGAAGAGAACGATCAAAGGATCTCCCAAGTAACATATTCATTCAGGAGAGAACTCTTCTTAGTCCCTTGCATCGGTGACCAGAAGGGGGCAGTATTGTATTGTGGTGGGCAGAGGGGCGCCAGGGTGGAGCTGTCTTACGGATCCTGAATCCACCGCTTCTTAAGCGTTCTCCCCTACTCGTGATGCCTACACCGTTAGTCCTCTGGAAGGTCAGTGATACAGCTGGTTATCACCACAAGGAGAAAATCCTACAACAATGCAGTCAAGTCACACTGAGTCTCCCCAGCTCTGCTGAAGGTGGAGACCAGCTGGGCCACTTAGAAGAAACGGGAGCAGGGCTGAGCTCAGCACAGAAGCTGCATCCCAGAGCGAGGCTGGCCACCTGAGTAACTGCAGAGCCTGACTCCTCCCACGGACCGGACATGGGGCGGTGGTTGATTCGACCCATCACTGCAGAGGACAATGGGTGTTAGTCTAGGACCCTTTCTGAAAAGAGCGAGGATGAGGCCCCTTCAAGAAGCCAGACCGGGGACTTCCCTGACAGTCCAGTGGTTAGGACTCCACGCTTCCATTGCCGAGGGTGTGGGTTCGATCCCTGGTCGGGGAGCTAAGATCCCACAAGCTGAGCGGCGTGGCCCAAAAAAACCCTCTTTTCCTACTGGGGTTTCTGATGGCCACCAGAGGCAAAGCTAAGAAGAAACAAGGCAAAGCAAGACCCATCACTCAGGAGAGCAGGAGAAGACACGCCCACAAAGAAAAACACACACAGACACACACAAAACGAGGCTTCCGCGCGCCGGGAAAAGTTCCCCGGCAGCTTCCGTGAGGCGGGCTCATACTTACACTTCTGGGCTGGGTAGCTGGGGTGCGGCTGGTGATCTGTGCTGGTTGGGACAGAGGCAGGTTGCTTGTCACACCTGTTGCTAACTGAAGAGATAGCACAGGCAGCCTCAGAGTCTGGCAGAGGGCTCAAATCCGCACAACCCCAAGGCCTGGCTCTCTGCTCAGCAACAGGCTACTGGTCTTAGCGCTGGGTGGCTGCTTTGTTGATGTCCCCATTTTCCAACTTAATGCATTCACAGGAGACTAAGGCTTTTAAAAATGCATATTAAACCATGAACAGGATCACGGGACACAGCACGGCACTACAGGTGGGAAATATGGCGTACAATGACGTAAAAGCAACTACGTAAAGCCATAAATTCGCAGAATTTTGAAAGCAAAATTCTAGGAACCACTAGCTCTGCCAAGAGCTTAATTCAGCCAGGGCAAGGGGAGGCACCAGCACCACAATTTAGGTGGAAAGCTCCACCCAAGGAATCCAGATTTTTCAGGGCAAGTAATCACTAATCTACTGCCAAGGCTGATGACAGAACAGGGAAGAGAGGGCGACGGAGGTGCATGTGGTGAGAAGAATTGAGGAAGAGGCTACAGATGAGGTATCAGTGGGCCACTCCTCAGCCATGACGGAAGGACACCAACAAATAATATCTGAGATGGAAAGAGTCTAAAATGTGTGATAGGAAAAGTGTCTCAATAAAATAACTGTCCTAGTGAAGAATTTGGGGGAAATCATTGAAGGTATGATAAAGGAAACATTAAAAAGAAAAAAAAAAAACAAACTCCAGGGAAAAGCAAGGCTATATACAAAGGTGGAAATGTAATCGCAGCACACATCTGCAACAAATGGCACGATCAGAATGATGGAAACACAGATTATCATATGTCAATTTTTTAGGCTCAGCCAACAGCCGAAAGCGAGAAGATCCAACTGAAGTTACAGGAGAGATGCACATGTCCTCCACCTTGGTGATGGGAGAGTCAAAGTGGGAAGATGGCAAGTCTGGATATGACAGGGGTAGGAGAGGTGAGGGAGGTGGTGGGCACCAAGAGAGGGGGCAAGAGATACTGTCCCCAGCTGACAGAACAAGAACTAAGGAGCAAGTGTTTTACTTGACCAAGGTAACCCATAGGCACATCAAACAGTGACATAAGTAGTTTGGGAGGAGGGCGAGTAGAGAGGTGATAAAAGACCCCAATTCTCATCTTTTAAAGCCAGAAGTCAACAAGCAACGTCTAGATAAAGTCCAGAAATAGAAGTATGGGGAAACATGTTATTTACATTATTTACAAATAAGGAGGAGGTTAAGTGCCAGATGTACCCAAAGACAGCCATGGAGACTGAGGGTAGGAACTGTTTTTCCCAGTACAGTTTTATTTTCTCTAACTATAGTCATCCCTTGGTGTCAGGGATAGCACAGGGGATTGGTTCCAGGACCCACCACAGATACTAAATTCCATGGACACTTAAGTCTCATGGTCGGCCCTCCATATCCAAATCTACGGATTCAACGAACCACAGATCGTGTAGAACCGTGCTGACTATGGGAAAAGATCCATGTATATGTGGACCCGTGCAGTTGAAACCCCTTCAAAGGTCAACTGGATATGCGTGCATTGCTTTACAATCTTAAAATGAAGAAACAAGTGAACAGGAAAGGCCCACGCCCACCCCGAGGAAGCTCCTACCCCCTACTAAACCTTCCTCCCTCCCGACTAGACCCTCGTCTTAACCAGCCTAGTTCCAGAAGTCTATAAAGAGCTCAGAAACCTCAGTGTTTGTAAGTACAGCCCACGTTCCTCCACAAGATTCCATGTACACTGTCAGCAAGCAGTGAGCGCTAGCAGAAACCATTAGACATAAGAGGAATCAGAAAACCAGCCAGTCTGTCTGCTCTGCCGCCAGCCACCACCCAGGGTGCTTTGGTGAGTAAATAGGGGAAAGTGAGAAGCCTGGGGCTCGCTGTCCTGACCTGGCCTCCAGTGACCTCCTGCTCGGTTCCCTTCGGCCCACACTCCAAAGTAACACGGCAGCACTGCCTGAAAAATGCTTTTTCCTCCAGCTGCTGACGATGTGGGACCTTTCCCTCCCTCCCTGCTTTCCCCCATCTCATCGTTAGCCTCCTCTGGACGATATTGTCCCCACTCCCCAACCCCGGCGCCAAGTCACCAGCGTCTTCCAGGCTCCTGGCTCCCTCTCTCCAACTTCCCTTTCTACCCCCTCGGACACCAGGGTGCTTCAGGTCGAGAAGGAGGGGGAGGTCAGCCAACAACGGCCCGTGGGCCAAATTCAGGCCAGTGCCTGTTTTTCCAAGTACAGGTTCACGGGAGCACAGGCCCACCCATCTCTTTGTGTGTCATCTGTGGCTGCTTTCATCCGACAACGGCAGTCGAGCAGTTCTGACAGAAACTGTGTGGCCCTCGAAGCTTAAAATATTTACTCTCTAGGGCTTCCCTGGTGGCGCAGTGGTTGAGAGTCCGCCTGCCAATGTAGGGGACACGGGTTCGTGCCCTGGTCTGGGAAGATCCCACATGCCGCGGAGCGGCTGGGCCCGTGAGCCATGGCCGCTGAGCCTGCGTGTCTGGAGCCTGTGCTCCGCAACGGGAGAGGCCAGAGCAGTGAGAGGCCCGTGTACCGCAAAAAAAAAAAAAAAAATTTACTCTCTGGTCCTTTACAGAAAGTCTGCCAACCCCTGGGCTAGGTAACATCTCATCCACCTCGGAACTGAGGTACGATGCATCTCCCAACCACCTTCCTGCACGGAAGCTTCCCTGTCCCAACAGATTCCATACTCCCAGGGCATCACTAATCTTCCCAAGGCCCGTTAATCTTCCCACATGGATTGCACCACTTTGCTGCTCCAAAACCTCAACAGCACCCCCGTCTGCAGCAGTATTTCCAACTTGAGCCCTTCTCACTCCACCTTTGCAATTGTGACACGTCCACTCAGTTCGTACTGTTATTTTAAACTCATTTTCAACTTAAGTCAAACAGAAACTCTTATATCATCACCAAAAAGCAGGAAAGCAATAATACCTGCCATACATAGAAGACAACTCTACAAATGAACATAATGAAAACCAAATTGTAGTAGAAAATTCTAGGTGGGTGCCATGCTGCTGAAGTTAAAAAGACAGATATCAAAAAAAAAAAAAGAAGAAGAAGAAATCAAAGGGATGAAGAAGATACCTTAGCACCAAACTGAACTTGTTCTCAGAGATGTAACCAGAGGACTGAAGGGGGAGTGAGAAGTGAGTTTTTTCAACAGGTGGTTCAATCGTATTTAATGCCAAGTTCGTAAAGTCAGCTCGTGTCACTCCCCCTGGTGCACCCCGAACCTGAACCCCACTTCAGGAAACTTTCTCAAGCCACCCTAACAAAGGACATCCCTTCTTCCTCTATGCACTAAAAGAAACTGTTTGGCTTTCAGTTGAAGAGAATGACCCGGCAGAGAGAAAGATCCTAGAGCTGAAGGACCCTGAATTAAGCAGAACTGCCCTCACTGAAGACACCTTCTTTGAACCCTTCTGGAATGCCCTCAAACCGGTTTAGGAGGGTGCAGGGGAAAGACCCTTTGGGCTAGAAAAGAGGACAGCTCAACTGCACAGAAGGGGAAAACCAAAAGTCAGTGTCAGATAATTCCCCAGAACAGCCTACCAGGTTATCCCTCAAGTAGAAAGAGTTTTACGGAAAGATCATCTACCTAAAAATTTTCTTTTTTCCTCCGAATGCTCAAGTACCCTCATCCACTAAATGCGGGCATTGGGACCTCGGGGATAGTTTCACAGTTTCATTTCCTGTGGTCATTTCTCTGAGGGCAGAAGAACTGCCCAACCCAAATGCATCTTCTATGCCACTCCAGGTCAGCAACGGAACCCTATGTCTTTGATGTGGTACCCCAAGAAATCAAACAAGTACAGGTAAATCCTGATCCGTTTGGAGAAGTGCCTGAAAGCCACCTTGCCCCGCCACTCCTTCACCCCCGCTGACCCGCCCAGGGCATCCCCAAGGATCCCTAAGGACCCACAGTTTGAAAATCACAGCCCTACACCCTTCAGCTTCTCCCTGAGGACATGGCTCCCCTCTGCCCGTGTGGACCGTGAGAGCACCATTCGCCCACCAGGGGGGCAACATACCAGAGCCTTGGTTGGAGCCTAAGAGAATGGAGGAGGGCGTCTCCCTGGAGCCAGAAAGGTCGAGGGTCTAGAAATACAAAAAGAGAGTCATGGAGGCAAGGCACTGGGGCCAATGCAGCCCCCCCAGGGAAGCCCAGGGATCCATGGGGGCACTCACCACGGCCCCTACAGCACCCTCGTGCCCTCTGCCTGGCGTGCTCAGGCGGGGGAGGCCAGGTCAGCTGGGGGGCCCTGCACCTGTGCCCTTTTCTGCTCTACCTCCCCAAAACACAGCACTGGGGGCTCCTCACTCAACTCTAGAGCCGTGGCTTCAAGAACACTGGTCCTCAGCTCCCCTCTCTGACCTAACGCCCACCCCAGATTTCTGCCACATCCCAAAAGGAAGCTCAGCCATCCCTCAGTACCCGAAGTGGGATGGTTCCAGGAGTCCCCAAGGGTACCAAAATCTGGGGATGTTCCAGCTCCTTACACACAAAAAAGGCCTAGTACGGTGAATACAGTGGGCCCCCTGTATCCGAGGATTTCGAATACATGGATTCAACCACACATGGATGGAATTTCGGTTGGTTGCATCCAAGGATGAGAAACCCACGGATACGGAGGGCTAACTGCATATTACATCAAATTATATCAGTTCACTTTTATTTCACCTTAACCTCTTACTAAGCAATAATATCAATGAAATCAAAGGGTTTTAACTGCTGGGATGACTTGCTTTTTTTCTAATAGACAGGAAATAAATACATAATGACTACAAATGTAAAAAAATGATCAAGGTGCCACCTAAAATAATGTTTGCGTGCAATTACATACACCACACACTGGGCAAGTAAGTAGGAGGTGGAACCTGTGTGTCCAAAAGAGCAGCCACCAGCCTCCTGTGACTACCTGTATTTAAATTAATTATAATTCAATAAAATTTTAAATCCAGGTCCTCAGTCACACTAGCCACAGTTCAATCGCTCAACAGCTACACGCGGCTAGTGGCTCCCATGCTGGGCAGAGCAGATACAAAACATTCCCATCGTCTCAGAAGGTTTTGCGGACAACGCTGCCCTAAACACGTACCTTGTGAAAAGGAGCCCTGCTAAGACTGTCACCCCATCTGCAGCCTGAAGACAGACAAACCTCCCTAGAGCACAGGACTCGCCGGGGTGGCGGGCATGGGGGTGGGTCTGAGACTCTGCGTGGCCCAAAGCCACGTGGGATGGAGACTCACCGAGCCACTGTCCTTGCTTTTCTCGGCTGGCGTCTCCTTCTCTTTCGAGCTGCTGGTTTCCGGGGGGGCTGCCTGCGTGTTGGAGGAGGTCCCCTGGGATGACTTGTTTAGTGTTTCCGTGTTCACCTCGGCGTCTGCTTCCTGCTGAGGCGCGGTAGCTGAGGGCAAAAGGGGACAGAAGCCAAGTATAAGCCGAGCGTGATGGCTCCCGGGCCCACGGGGAAGCCCGTTCTGCGCAAACCGACACCTGTAAGAGACGCAGCTGCCACCCAGGCCCACTCAGGGCACAAGCACAGGCCCAGGGTGGCTGGACCAAAGCTTTCCAGACGCAGAAATTCCAGACTGTGCATGAAAATATGTTCATTTCTAAGAGTCTGTGATTCAAGTTTTATTAAATCATTCTGGAGAGAAAGAATGTTCGTGAAACAAACACGCTGTAAACTGCTGTTCCAATTACTCATTTCATCATTTCTAATTTTAGACCAGTTTTCACCCCATGTTTTACCCTATAACAGCAGAGCTGAGCGCTTCTGACAGACCACCCAGGCCACAAATCCTGAAATATTTACTCTCTGGACCTTCATAAAAAAAGCTTACCAACCCCTGCTCCAGAGCTTCTCATTCGTGTATCACCTTTGAAAAACTTGTCAATCTGTAGATATACTCCCTTATCATATTATTTATGTTACTTGTATTTAACTTATGTATTTTATTTATTTTTGGGTGCGTTGGGTCTTTGCTGCTGCATGCAGGCTTTTCTCTAGTTGCAGCGAGTGGGGGCTACTCCTAGTTGCAGTGCGCGGGCTTCTCGTCGCAGTGGCCTCTCTCGTTGTGGAGCACAGGCTCCAGGCGCGCGGGTCCCAGCAGCTGTGGCTCGCGGGCTCGAGAGCGCAGGCTCAGTAGTTGTGGAGCATGGGCTTAAGTTGCTCCGCGGCATGTGGGATCTTCCCAGACCAGGGCTCAAACCCGTGTCCCCTGCATTGGCAGGCGGATTCTTAACCACTGTGCCACCAGGAAAGCCCTGTTATCTGTATTTAAATAAATTATTTGAAATGGAGACTTTTATTTCTAAGCATAGAAATCTAACATTAGCCATAAATAAATGCTAACCGTAAAATAATCACTAATAAATACTATTAACAAATTCTAACTAGACAGTGTTTCCTGCTGGAGTCTCCTAGCCTGGGATCTGCTTGCTCTGTATTAGAAAGAGATTTCAGGGGACTTCCCTGAAGTCCCCACAGTGCACCACAACTACTGAGCCTGCACTCTAGAGCCCGCGAGCCACAACTACTGAAGTCTGCGCAGCCAAAAATAAAAAAAATAAATTTATAGAAAGAGATTTCAAAGACCGATTAGTTCCAAACCAACACTTTTTCCTTCGCGTGAGCACTGGGATCCCTTATTCAACACTATGAGTCCAGGATGGGCTCCATTGTGGGGGCTGTCCTGTGCATCCTGCAGGGCGTTTAGCAGCATCCCTGGCCCCTGCCCTCTCGATGCCAGCGGCACCCCCCCTCGGTTATGACAACCACGAATGTCTGCAGTCATTGCCAGTGTCTTCAGAGAGGGGACAGAGACAAAAACTGCCCCCGGTGGAGAACCAACCACGGCAACTCACATGAAACTAAAGCGATCATCGCATGCCCCGCACTGTGGCGAACAACACTATGGCCAAGGAGACGAGAGGTTCAAAACACCTGTGTCTGGAGTCTCGGCTCCATGGCTGTGTGCTGCTCTCTCGTGTGTAAGAGTCACACAGGTGGTGAGCGAGCATGACGAGGGTCCTGTGGTCCAGGGGGGAGCCAAGAGCCCGCCCTCTGCAGCCTGGGCCAGGAGGTGCCCCCGGGGCCCTACCTGACTGGGTGCAGGACTTCATGTGCTCAGGCCAGTGGGCCTGCTGGCAGGGGTAGTCGCAATAGCTGGTGTTCCAGCAGCAGTAGAAGATGGCCTCCTTCTTGCAGTTGGCGCACCACTGCTTCTTCTTGGTCTCGTCCACCGCCTGCTGCTTCTCCAGCTCCAGCTGCTTCTTCACCTCTGCGATGAGCCGGTCCCGCTCCTGCTCTAGGCTCTGCCGCATCTCAGCCATGGTCAGCTCTGCCGGGTGGGGGAGGGGAGGGGAGGGGGGGGGGAAGGGGAGGAGGGGAGGGGAGGAGGGGAGGGGAGGAGGGGAGGAGGGGGAGGGGGAGGGGAGAGGAGCAGATGCCAGCTTCATCACCTGTCCCCCGGCCCAGGCCATGGGGTCATTCACACCAGGTCAGAACATGGATTCCAACAGACTCGGGCATGGATCCTGGCTTGGAGATGCCCTGGCTGTGTGATACCCCCTGGGTGAGACACCCAGCCCGCCCAAGCCCCAGTGTCTACACCTGTAAGATGAGCATCCACCACGCTGACCAACAGAGCTGCTTGTGATAATGAACGTCAGGTGCCAAGGATGCAGATAAGGGGGCCCCATGGGGATTCTGCAGGAAGCCCTCAAATAAACCCTTGAAACGATTTCCACTAAACTCCCTTTGAACTTTATCATTAGTATAAGCCTTTTTTTCTATCAAATACTTACACAGCACCTACTATCTGTAGGCACTGCTGTAAGTACTTCATAAACACGAACCCCTTTAATCCTTTTATACTGCTAACCCTACGCGGTAAGCATCACTAAAGACCCCTTTCACAGATGAGGAAACTGAGGCACAGAGCTAACAAGGGCAGAGGGGGGGCTACAACTTGGACATGCTGTGTCCTTGGTGTGTGGCTCTAATCTACCGGACACAGGGTGTCGTGACCGGTCACCAGGCTAATAAAACAACTATCAAACTGCTCGCGCTACTGGGATTTCTCTCAATTTTACGTCAGACAGCGTGCAACACCTGGGAGCGACTTGCACACTGGAATAAAAGAAAAATAAATGGTTCCTCGTGCAACACCTGGGAGCGACTTGCACACTGGAATAAAAGAAAAATAAATGGTTCCTCGATTTCTTAAAATCCTCCTGCTGAAATTAAAAAAAAAAAAACACCCTCCAAAAAACCACCAATAAAGAAAATTAACCCCTGGTAAAGATAAAAAGCACTTGTATCCAGACACAACATTTCCAGCTAGGAGTCTGCCAACCATGACAAGCTCTGTCCAGCCCACATGTATTTTTTCAAATGTGTGGCCACTATTTTTAAATGAAACGATTCTGCTTAAAAATAGATTCCTTGACTTTACAAGAAAAACAGGAAGAAGTGACAACATTCCAATAAACTTCCCTCCTGGCAACAAGGGAAGGAGCAGGGCGGGGGCGGGGCTTTCCTGGTAGGCTTCCGAAGGACTGGAGTTTGCGTGATTTAAACAAGTATCACCTGCAAGCAGGTGGGCACCCCACCCCCACCCCTGCCCCGCCGGGTCTGCCTCCCTAACAGAACCTCCTGGTTGCCAGCGTTCTGACTCTGAGGCTGATACTACTCAAGGGTCTGAAAGAAACTGCTCTGCCTTTGGGGGGAGACCCTTTTACAATATCCCCACAGAGCAGTAAGCGAAACATCAATCTTATCTACAATCCATGGACCAACGCCCTCGCCATGACGTGGGGCACACAGGAAGCATCCAGAACTTTAAGATGCCTGATGGTCAGTGGCTACAAGGAGGAAAGTCTGGAGCCACAGCGCCCAGACGTGAACTACAGCTGTGTGACTTTGCACATGTCTGTGCCTCAGTTTCTGCTGGAAATAACAGACCCCTTTTTATCAGAAGGGTCTCTGTGAGAACTAGCTAATTCGTGAAAACTTCAGCCAGTTGCTGGAACAAGGTCAGAGCTCATAAGCAGGAGCTGCTACCAAGGCTGTTGTGATGACCTTGTTGCTGGTGTTGGTATTCTGAAAAGAGGAAAAGGAGGGTGCCCTCCAGCTCCATCCTTCATATCTGGTTTCTCCAGGTCAGACTCTCCAGGATGCTGTGGTCTCCCCACCAGTGGTGCATCCCCCGCCCTACTTTTGATTCAATTCACATCTGGGTCAAACGCCAGAGGTGTCAAGAAGCTCACATCCAGAACCTTCCACAGTGCAGACCAAGTCAGCAGGACTTACCCAAGTTGTGTTTCATTTCCGAGAGCTCCTGCTGGTGCAGCCACTGGAGCTTCTCTATCTCAATCCTCAGCCTGCGAATCTGTAAGGAGAGAGAAAGACTTTTTTACAAAGTGCACCTGGGTGCCTTTTACCAACAGGGCTCGGAAGCTCCAGCTCTCATCACAGGGTTAACGTCATGCGCTGAGGCAGAGAGGGCAGCCTGTGCTGGCCACCCCACAGCTGCAGTAAGAGAGGCGGGCGCCAGTGGGTTAGCCCAAATTCGGGAGAACTTCTGCTCCAAAAAGCCAAATATGGGTCGGCTGTCTTTTCCAAGAAATGCTCTAGGAAAAGCCACTTCAAGTAAGAAAAGAAGACCAGGTCTTCATGATAAATAGTACGCCACAGGTTTGAGGAGGATTTTGGTCTAAAACATGAAACAAAAACAAATAGAAACACGCTTTATTGTATCTCTTACCTAAGATTTTGGGCACAGGGGTGCATGATCATCCTCTTCAAAGTCCAAAGCTTAACATTTCTGGAAACCATAGGGTATTTTGGGGGGTAGGAGTAAATTTGGAGCCAAATTCGTTTGGAGGAAGGAAAATGTAAACCCAATGTGAACTGATACAAGGCTGTTGACAGTGCTGAATAATCACAATCGTTCTCAACTGGGATGATTTTTGCCCCCCTCCCTCTCTCCATGACACTGCAGTGCCTGGAGACATTATAGGTTGTTTCTGGCATCCCGGGGGTAGAGGCCAGAGATGCTGCTAAACGTCCCAGATGGACAGGACGGCCCTCACCACAGCGAATCATCTGGCACAAATGTCAGTAGCGTCAAGTTGAGAAATCCTGATTTATCAAACACGGTGGGAACAATTGTACTGTTTCACTGCAGAAAACATTGTATCTAATCGTGGGAGGGAGGCTGCATATTACCTCATTAAAATCTGGAAACTTCTGGCACATATCTGGACCCAAGGTTTCAGGTGAGACATTACGGATCCATACTTTCCACTCCACGCCAGTTAAAATGAACAAAAAGGAACGAAGTATGGTAGCAGGTGGGGGTGAGGATGGGGAAGTTTTTCTAAGTTCTTGTTTGACGTCCCAGCACCATCATCAGGAGGGTCACCTCAGCAAAAATACCCAAGGAGATTCACCATTTCTCTTGGGACCTCCCTGAAACCTTTACATTCATGCGGTTCTCTGTTGAAGGCCTATAGGGACACCTTCCTGGAGATTTTTTCCTCTTCGTCTGGGTGCCAGCCTCACCCTGCCAGGTCGTCAATGGCTCTGCATGTGACTCCCCCCAGTTTTCGATCATGACTTTCAGTGACCTCTAGAAGTCCTGCCATTGTCATTTCCCGTGGTGACCTGTTTGCATCGGGCTTGCAGGGAATTAGCCTGGGAGGGAAATTCAGGGAGGCTCTTTTTTTTTTTTTAAAATAAATGGTCACTTCCTAAGTGGACATTTCAAAGTTTTAACCACGCTCTTCTCTAAGCAATCACCTAAATTAAGGAGGCTGGGGATACACATTCCTGGACAACAGGGATCACCTGTATAAAAAAGTCCAAACTTTGGGAGAAGATGAAGGATCCAATTTTATATGGGGTCAAAAGCACTACTGTCCAGTCTCACCAGTAGAATAACAACTCAAGCTCTGGTTTTGGCTGTATGAGTAGAAGTGAAGTGATTGCACAGAGCAGTGTGTCTCTCCAGAGCGCCAGCTTCCTAGCAAAGTGAAGAAATACCCTCACCACAAACCCCCATCAGCAGAGCGAGCCTGGTGACCAGAGACAGGACCCTAGAGGGATTTCCAGAGAAGCTTCTTCACGGTGCCCCTACAGCAGCCCATAAAACACTCTTAGCAAATAGGGAACTGAATGTGTCATCTCTGACCTCGGCTATCGTGCTTCCAGTAGTGTTTTTAGAAAGGTCGTTATATATTTCCGTCATTGTGCCTTTTATTGCATCCATCATCTGAAAGATAAAAACAGAAATGATTCAGGTGATCACTTCCCTGAGGCTTTTTCTAGATGACACACATCTAAAACTTATCTGCGTAAAGCAGTGGTTTCTCCGCTGGGGGTGATTTTGTCCATCCTGGGACACTTAGCATTTTTGGTTGTCATGGCTGGTGGGGGAGGGGGAGAGGGGTGCTGATGGCATCGAGGAGGTGGAAGCTAGGGATGCTCAAAACACCCTACCGTGCTCAGAACAGCCCCTGCAACAAAGTTATCCAGCCCCACATGTCCCTAGTGCCAAGGTTGAGAGCCTGGTACGAACCAGGAAGGGTAGGAATCACCCACGAGTTCCCTGTGCCATATCATGGGAGTAGTTCACAGCCATAAAGCTAATGTATAGCCACAGGTAAAAGTGGGGAGGATGAATTTGGCCCCAAGATGGTTTGGCCAGCACAGTGGGCTCAAGGGAGAGACTGTTTTGTTGCTGTTGTTTTTTTAAAATTGTTTCTCCTTAAAAAAACTATCATTTTACTGAGATAGTCATATACCATACAATTCACCCATTTACTATGTACAATTTAATGGCTTTTAGTCCATTCGGTGTTGTACATCCATGACCACAATCAATTTCAGAACCTCTTCATTACCCCAAAAAGAAACTCTGCTCCCCGTGAGCCTTCACCCCCCAATAACCACATCACCGCCCCCCAGCCTCTGATAACCACAAATCTGCTTTTTGGTCTCTAGATAGAATCTAGATTATTTCATATATGTGGGACTCACACAATACTTGGTCCTCTGTGACTGCCTTCGACTTCGCAGAAAGTTTTCAAGATTTGTCTGTGCTGTATTCCTTTTTAGGGATGAATAATATGGTCCACTGTGTAGATCTAGCTGGTTTGCTATTTTAATGCTTTTGGTCGGGGCATCCACTGCCTTTCCAGTTTCTTTCCCATCTTCCTTTTCTTTAACTATTTGACCCCTGAGGGCATCAGCAAGTCTGTGGCAACAGCTCATGTCCACGCAGCAGGCACCCAGGTGGCTGCTGACGGAATGTGTTTGCAGGGTGGGTTTCTCTTCTATCTGCCACTTGGCCACTGACCTCCCACATCACAGGAGGAAGAGGAGGGGACAGGAGACGAAACTAGGTCTCAGATCTGGCCTGGCCGCTGCCGAGGACCCCCTGTGCTTTGCAGTTTGTTCCAATTCAGTAAGAAGGCAGGACAAACAGCACCTTCACATCTGATGCCCGAGATCTGTTCTCACTGTTACATCTTCTCATCCACAACTCTGAGCCTCGGTTTCCTCATGTATAAAACAAGGATAATAACAGTGCCCCCCTTGTAGGGTACGCAAAAGGATTAAGTGAGAAAACCACAAGAAGACTGTGGTTCGGTACCTGCTGAGGAGTGGGCAGGTTCTGGACCACAATTCAGTGTGGTTCCTAAAGAAATACCTGTTTGTCTCATTTTCACAGAAAAATTAATTCACGTGAACATGTAATTGCAAAACTGTTCCCAACCCCCAAAAGAGTAACCCCCAATTCACCCCAAAATGGGAGGAAAATGAATAAATTATCTGTTGAGATTTCCGCCCCCAGCTTGTTGCAGGTGCCACAGGGGGACACTGCCAGCAAAAACACTTTGTGCTTGGGCTTCCCTGGTGGGGCAGTGGTTGAGAGTCCGCCTGCCGATGCAGGGGACACAGGATCATGCCCCGGTCCGAGAAGATCCCACATGCCACAGAGCGGCTGGGCCCGTGAGCCATGGCCGCTGAGCCTGCGCGTCCGGAGCCTGTGCTCCGCAACGGGAGAGGCCACGACAGTGAAAGGCCCGCGTACCACACACACACCAAAAAAACGCTTTGTGCTTTATGGTCAGTCACTCTGTATGGGCCTCCTTACCCACATCCATTTAAAATATTAAAACAAAATTGCTTTACAAGAAAACTTCAGAAAGTGGATGAAATTCAATACTTTACTAATGCCATAGTTACATTCCATTTTAAAGAAATCATGAATTTGCGGACTGACCTTCATTCTTACTTCCAAATATAGCAAAGAAGCCAACAAAGAGCCCTTCTGCCAAAACACACAAATCTGGGTCTTCAACTCTGGGTCACCTCAGACACAAGAAAGTTCATCAGCTACAACACTATGTCACTGTGTTCATTTTCTTAGCTGCAAAGAAAACGTCTGTCAAAAAGTTCATTCTTCAATTTTGCTCTAAGAGTGAAGGGGGCAACAGTAGGGGATGGAACAGAAGTGGCTGCAGGAGCTGAGAACGCTGGTTTGCTGCAAACCACTAGCCAGAGCCGCAAAGCATCCTCAGTTTTCTCTTCTGTAAATAGACAACTTGGACCAAATCAATGGAAGGTGATACAAAAAGTCAAATCAATTGCAAGCAGAACAAGAAGCCATTTGGGCAATACCAGACATTTTCTTAAATCAGTAATTTTAAAAATTACCCCGTTTCAATTTTCTTGCAATCCTACAACAGATCACGTTAGGAAGAAAGGCTCCGTTTGGTGCCATTATGTCTTTAACACTTTCATCATAATCTCTCTCTTTCACAAAAGGAAGATGGACTTAAGCTTCAAGCCTTGACAAAGAACAGGATCTGGTGAGGTTAGACTTAATTTTATTTCAACTAGTTAAGTCAATTTAAATAAAAATACTAAGTCAATACTAGTTCAAGGTGATGAACAGGTAAGACAAAAACTCTGAGGATGGTAACAAGTAACTAATACTTGAATCCTTCCTGTTCTGAAACTCGGGGGCTCTGTAACAATTCTCGTGTTTTATTCAAAAGGGGGCAGAAATACTAAATAAGAGACAAAGTTACCCCCAAGAAGCGGAGTTGCTTGAAAAAGCCACATGTAAGGACAATCAATGTGTGGACACTGGACAGCTGTGCCTAGCAGGCTTGGTGTGAATTCACAAGTCAGCTCAAAGGCAGGTTAAGAGCACACTCACTGGATCCTGGCGGCTACCATCCAACACCAGCTTGCACATTCACCGATTATGTGACCCTGGACAAGCTGTGTGGCCTCGCCAGGTCTTAGTTTTCTCATCTATAAAATAGGTGTGCTTTACAGTACGGTCCTCGTCAACCTGCCACGAAGACTGAGTAAGGAACACATAAAACGTGCTTGGGACAGTGTCTGGGCCAGAGTAAATGCCACGCAGACACTGGCTACTGCTAGTATCATCCTACCTAGTGTGACAGACACTCTGAGAAGGCTCCCCGTGACCTCAGCCCTCTGGGCTTTGTGCCCTGGTGTAATCCCCTCCAAGCATGGGCTGGCCTAGTGACCTGCTTCTAACCCCCGGAATATGGCAGAGGTAATAGTCCGTCACTTCTGTGATCACCTACATAAGACTGTGACTTCCATCTTGCTAGCAGGCTTTCTCTACCCCTTGCTGTCATGAAGCGAGCTGCCATGCTGGGCAGGCCACAGGGAAAGGGACTGAGGGTAGACTCCAGCCAACGGCCAGCTGGGAACTGAGGCCCCCAGTCCAAGAGCCCTCAAGGGAGTGAATCCTGCCCACAACCACCTAAGTGAGCTTGGAAGTGGATCCCTCCCCAGTCACATCTTCAGATGAAATCCCAACCCTAGCAGACACCTTGGAGGCAGCCTGCCAGAGGTCCTGAAACAGGGGACCCAGCCCAGCCAAGCCTGGACTCAACACCCACAGAAACTGTCAGATGAACGTGTGTGGTTTTAAGTTGCTACGTTTTGTAGTGATCTGTTATGTAGCAACAGATAACACACCTAGATAGAATAAAAAGAAAATGACCAACAGAAATTCATGAGTAGAAAATTATATATACCACTCTCGCCATCTAGAACTAAAAGAAAAGATTCTACCTTTCACACTCAATAATGAAGCAACTCCTATCATGAGACTTCAAGAAGTCTAGAAACAACTATCCTCAACTCTTGTCACCCATTCTATCAACTTGAACAGTTTACCCACTGGTAACTAATTAGTAATTTACTCATTACTAAAGAGTCAAGTATTATTATTGCCTACTTAGCAATTTACTAAATACTCTTAGATTACTGTCATTAGCTACTATTAAGAGTTACTGAGGATAGAAAGACACTGGAACTCACCAAAACAGATACCCCACATCCAAAGACAAAGGAGAAGCCACAGTGAGACGGTAGGAGGGGCGCTATCACAATAAAATCAAATCCTGTAACTGCTGGGTGGGTGACTCACAAACTGGAGAACGCTTATACCACAGAACTCCACCCACTGGAGTGAAGGTTCTGAGCCCCACGTCAGGCTTCCAAACCTGGGGGTCTGAAAACGGGAGGAGGAATTCCTAGAGAATCAGACTTTGAAAGCTAGCGGGATTTGATTGCAGGACTTCGACAGGACTGGGGGAAACAGAGACTCCACTCTTGGAGGGCACACACAAAGTAATGTGCGCGTCGGAACCCAGAGCAAGGGGCAGTGATCCCATAGGAGACTGAACCAGACCTACCTGCTAGTGATGGAGGGTCTCCTGCAGAGGCAGGAGGTGGCTGTGTCTTACTGTGAGGACAAGGACACTGGCAGTAGAAGTTCTGGAAAATACTCCTTGGCGTGAGCCCTCCCAGACTCCACCATTAGCCCCACCAAAGAGCCGGGTAGGCTCCAGTGTTGGGTCGCCTGAGGCCAAACAACCAACAGGGAGGGAACCCACCTCACCCATCAGCAGACAAGTGGATTAAAGATTTACGTAGCTCTGCCCACCAGAGCAAGAGCCAGCTCTACCCACCACCAGTTCCTCCCATCAGGAAACTTGCACAAGCCTCTTAGATAGCCTCATCCACCAGAGGGCAGACAGCAGAAGCAAGAAGAACTACAATCCTGCAGCCTGTGGAACAAAAGCCACATTCACAGAAAGATAGACAAGATGAAAAGGCAGAGGGCTATGTACCAGATGAAGGAACAAGATAAAACCCCAGAAAAACAACTAAATGAAGTGGAGATAGGCAACTTTCCAGAAAAAGAATTCAGGA